TATCAAGGCTTCTCTTGATATTGGGCTTCTCAATGCCTAGCCAACCCTTTCCCAAGGTGGAGGCTATCAACCAAGGAATGATCTCAGAAACAGGGGGTTAGCCAGTGAGAATCAAACCTTGGAGGCTATAGGATCATTGCCCAAACTAATCCATCCAACCCCTTAGACCTCTATTGTCTAGAGCAAGAGATATTGGAGCTCTTAGTGGATCTTTTCCAGCGAATGCCATCACTTTCGTGTGGGGAGTCGCCTAAGGACTTACAAGCCAGGGGTAGTGGTCATGTAGCCTTAAGATCTATCCAAAAGAGAGAGAATCTAGATTAAGACCATAAGCTAGAAGGATTAAGCATATGAAACCTCTAATCTATCCCATCTCAAACCCTAATGGGTAACTACTCACTACACATGAATGTAAACACAAGCAAATGCAATAAAAGAGACATCATAAGAAAGAGGAGATGAAATTAAACAACTTTTATTGAAATAAGCAAGTGCAAATACAAAGAAATAATCCAGGATCTAAGATTCAAGAAGCAAGAGCTTCAAGAACACAAAGATGGGATTAGGGTTCTAAAAAGTAAAAGACAATAAATTAAAAGAACTAAAACAAAATAATCTAAAGCTTGGTGGTTTTTTCGTGGCTTAGAGCCTTTAAATACAAAGAGGATTAGGTTTAGGGTCAAAGGAAAGTCAAGGGGGAAGCAACATTTTTCGGGTTTGACTTTGACTCCCCAGCTCGATCGAGTTGAAGCTTGGCCGGTCGAGTTGAGGAACTCGACCGGTTGGTCGAGTAGACGGTCGAGCTGGTCTTCAAGATGGCTTCTCCCTTCTTCCTTTGCGTGCCAGTTGAGCTGCTTCCATGTGCCAAGTCCCTCCATGCTCCTTATGTCCATATGCTCCAGAATGCTCCAAAAGACCTATTTCAAAGGACCAAACATGCATATGTATGCAAATGCAACCTAAAACTAACATGAATGCATAAGAAGAGAAAAGGAACAAGATATGATGCAAATGGAAGCTAAAACTATGCAAAAGATGCATAAAAGATGTGCTAAAACTATGTAAAATGCAAGTACATCACCGAGGCATGAAAATGTCTTTAAGGAAATCAACTCCATCTACTTCCAACCTTTGACGAGTATGGAGCTGAAGAGGAGACTAATGGTGCACCTAATCTCTTTCACAAGATAAGAATCTTTACACCAAAAGATTCGGAGCTTAAAGGTGACCAATCCATTGAAGAGAAGCTTGAGAGAACTATGAAGCTTTTCCCCAAGGCATTGGTTTTCAAAGATGATGTGAGAGATGACTCATGGCGCACAACACCACCACAAGAAGCCACTGAACCGGAGAATGGAGAAGCTAAAGGGATCCTTTGCCCTTCAGCCACTCTTCACCACGATTAAAGAAAGAGAAGGAGTCAAGCTAAATGACTTAAAACAAAAGCGCTTTATGGGAGGCAACCCATATGGTTTTTAACTATCTATTTCTATTTTGCAGGAGTTTTTCAAAAATCAAACAAAAATACAAAAATATTTTCTTAGGATGAAGACCCAAAGGAGACCAAACAATGAAGTGTCCCACCCAATGAGCCCACCCTTGTACAAGGCGTTTCTCTTCAAAAGGTAAGTAAACTCTCACCTAGTATTCATTTCTAATCACTCTTGATCTTCACTTGAAAAATCGTTTAAACCATTGCACTTTACCAAATATATTTCATGGTTTAACTTGATTTACATTTGATGATTGGAAAGAATACATAATCACTTGTCAAAACTCATTTTCTCACTGAAATTACAAGAGATTGAACTATAGTTTGAAATTTGGATCATTAACCAAGACCAAATAAGAATTTATAGTTTGTGCTTTAATCTCTTGGATTGTGAACTTCAAGTTGGTCACTTGAGGATCACAATCTAAGAAACCATCTAATCATGATTTCAAGTGTTTTGCAAGGAGTTACCATTTGACAGGAAGGAAAAAGAGCAAACCTATCCAACCTAAAACCAACATGCATATGGCGGCCAAAGGGAGGTTAAAAGGAGATACATAGGCCATCACACGAAACAAGGCGGCCACCACTTGGGAATGACACAGGAGGGTTATTAAAACAATTCGGTCGAAGAAAATCTCAATTGGCCCGAGTGGATTTGAAGAAATTCAATCCGGCACATTTCTCTCGGCCATGACGCACACGGAGACCAATCTCGGCCAACTCCTAAACGGCGTGACCGAAGTCCACCAAACTTCACAGGCGACCATAAAATCACATTTTGGTCGGCAAATCCAAAAGATAGGACGGAGAAATCATCACGGATCATGAGATAGACGACGGAGCTCATTCTGGCCGATGGCGCGCAAGCAATATGGCCGACAAAACCAAATCACGGCATAGGCGCGCCAACCGGTTGGAAAACTCTTCCTTGAGCTTAACTAACACTTTTATGCAGGAAGAAACGAAAAGGAACGAGCCAAACTTCACATGGCCAAGGAAACTCCTTCCCGGAGCCGACTTGACCATTTTGTGAAGGAAGTCTCAATCCGCTCGTACAAATGCTCCCAAACTTCACCAGAGGCTATAAAATACCAGGTTGGTCGATGAAATTTCAATATAGGTCATGAAATTTTGACGGTTTGTTCTGTAGTTCACAGCACCACATTTTGGCCGACCGAATATACCAATCTCGGCCAAAACACAAACCGGCGGAAACCAAGGCCTGAAAAAAAACTCACCGACCAATATTGCCTAAAGAAGTGTAGAATGACCCAAACCGGAACTGATCTTCATTATAAATTGGTCGACATTTGGTAACATCATCCTAAACCTTTTTCTTTTCAATTTTTCATTTGAACTTCATGTTATGCCTCTCTTAATCCGATTTGATTTCACCGGGACGGTGCAAGTTAAGTCTGGGGGGATTACTAACAATGTTTGTTCATTTTGGCATTTTCATTTGCATTTTTCCCTTTTATCGAGTCGTTTTTATTGAGTCAAAATTTTTGTCGAGAATCATGACCTTATCTTGGATCTAACCATGGTTGTACTAATGTTTAAGTGACCATTGAGCAGTTCTTGGCAATACATCTTACCACAGGTGCACTATGAGTTGATCGATCTACCAAAAACGCCTACATCTCTAAAGACTTGAGAAGGATCCATCTTTGACTCCGCCCTTAATGAACTTAATCTTCTCAGCTAGGGGCTTGGCATACAAATGGCATGATTCCTCATCCTCTCCATCAAATGAAAAAGTCTTAGTGAGTTCGTGCTTCCCTCTCTCTCCCCTTCAAATTTAAAGAAAAAGCGTAAGGTCCAAGTAACCGGGGATTCGGTGGCAAACACCATCAATACTCGCGTCTATGGAAGGCCTATGAATCCAAGCAACCGGGGATTCGGTGGCAAACACCATCAATACTCGCGTCTGTGGAAGATCCAAGCAAAACCTCTATAATAAAGAGAAGGAGTTGAATAAAAAAATACTTCGCTACCCTAAAAAAGGGATGAATCAACTCAAAGAAGTGAGAAGAGAGAGAGGAGAAACATGGAGTAAAAGACAAGTGCCAAACAAGGGGATGAGAAAGAGTCTAAAAGCCGGCTGATCGATACTCCCTAGTTGAGACCACACCTTTAGAAATGAAAGGAGTCAAGGGTGGCGAATTGGATTGTCCAAGGAGAGGTGGACCGCTTTGGGAAAATCGCAAAACTCATGGTATGTACTTTGTTCTTAATTCAAAACTTGCCAATGCTGTTTCATGTGGATTACTAAAGCATAAGTCAATTTGGATTTCCAAAAGATTTGAGAGTTCTCACGTTTTCAAACCTCTTTTCCTGCTTAGTTTGCTTGGGGACAAGCAAAAGGCTAAGTCTGGGGGAGTTGATATCACCATATTTTACATGATTTTACTATATATTTACCTATGTTTTCAAACGGTTTTTGCAAGATTCTTTGCCTTTAGAGGTAGTTTTCTTGTATTTGTGGGATTTGAAGTCTTTGTAGGTGAAATAATCAAAAAGGATGCAAAAAGGAGTAAAAGAGCCTAAATCAAGATCCATGCAAGTTTCCAAGTCAAGAAGATCATTTTATCTCCAAGTGTTAGTTCTCGCTGCGCGCAGAACGAAGCTTCGGAAGTTTGGCCGCGCGCGGAGGAGTTCCCGACGTCCAAAAGTTACGATCTTGATATGGAAAGATAGATACTTGAGTCATGCATCACGTCGAAGTGGAATGAAGCCATTTGGATCAACTATGAGGCCTAGACTTATTTTCTACCGAGACATGTCCGGTAAGCGAGCAAACGAAGCCCATGGAGGATTTGGAGTGTCTAATGGCCCGAGCAGCAGCGCCAAAGGCCTTGATCGAATAGAGAAGAGGCCTGGCTAATGTTTGGAGCTTTCCTTGGTACAATGTCGGCCCATACACGACGTGGAGAAGAAGGCTTTGCTCATGGGAAACTTTCCTTTTCCGGCATGAAGAAAACCCTACGCGACTTCGCCCATATATACATGTTTTTAGCCGCTGAAGAAGAGAGTCGAGTAGTCCGAAAATTATCAAAGAGTTACGTGTGAGAAGAGAGAGAGAGAGAGAAGCCCTAGGAGATCGTCCAAGAAGAAGGAGGCGCCGCTCAACTCTTGTTCTTTTTTTCATTGTTTCCATTTCTATAAACTTGATTTTAAGAGTTTTCAAGGGAGAATCCGACTTTGTTCATCAATAGAGAAGCTTTCTTCATCCCTTTATCTCTTTTAATACTTGCATAATGTTTACAATCATGCTTTGCTTGCTTGTTTGCATCATGGCCGAGTAGATCTCTTAGTTAGGCCGAGGAGATCTATGGTGGCCGTGATGATTTGATTGTGTTGATTGGGATTTATCTTATGGATCTTCACCTTTACTTGAGCTTAATGCATGATTACTCTACCGTACATCTAGTAATCTGATCTTAGAGAAATAGAACCACGACAGTGCTGAATCTAGATCTCAAAACTAGTATTTGGTGAGCAATAGATCATAGCCAACGAAAGCTGAGTTATGGTTTATTGTGAACAATTGAATCTTGAACCTTTAATGCATGTTTGCAATTCTAATAGCCAACGAAAGCTGAGTATATTAGGTTGTTTTAAACATAGTGGTTGGAGCCACGACAGTGGAAAGACCATACACTAGTGATTCATGTTCAAGACGGCTCTACACACATCCCATGCAACTATCTTTTCATCATTGCTCCATATGATTGTCCTTTGCCTAACTCTTGTTTTAAATTGTTTACAACCTCACTCACATTCTTTTGTTTTTTTTCTCATTCTAGGTCCAAAACCATCTCATATTGCGAGCTAGCTACAAACCAATCTCACAAGGTGTTAAGTGAGAACACTTCCTCCTCGTGTTCGACCCCGACTACAACACGGCTGTGCACTTGCAGCTCATTAGTTGGGTTTATAAATTGTGAAAATTTGAGGCAATCTAAACCCGCCATCAATTGCGCTTTGGCAACACTTGTTTTCTCGGGATCGTGCTTCGATGAAACCGGTTGGGGTCGCGCTTCGGCAACAATTGTTTTCACGGGATCGTGCTTCGACGAAACCGGTTGGGGTCGCGCTTTGGCAACACTTGTTTTCTCAGGATCGTGCTTCGACGAAACTGGTTGGGGTCGCGCTTTGACAACACTTGTTTTCTCGGGATCGTGCTTCGACGAAACCGGTTGGGGTCGTGCGTTCTTAAGGTGGTAACGATTTTGAAGGCAACGACGAGATGGAATTGATGCTTCTTCCATCGACGAGATGGAGGTGACGGTTTTGCTGTCACCAATCTTTTGCGTATCGGCAAGGATTTCTGTATAGTCGGGTGTCGAGCTGGTAGCGCCGTGCACTTTGGAGCTGATTGCGTTGAGGTCGCGGTGCAGCTTGGCCACTTTTGGTCTTGTCGCTGTTCGTCGCGACGTTAAAGCTTGTTGCTGTTCGTCGCAAACATCGCGGCGTTAGTGCATGTCGCCGTGGTGCTTCTTGTCGGCTTCTGCGTTTAGTGCCAGTTGTGGCGGAGGGTTGACGTGACCGTTGGTCGCGTCGACTTCGACGGGATGGACGATAGGGTTTCCATCTGCGCCGAGTTCGCTTTGGAGTCCGGTGTTGGGATCATCAGGTGGAAGTCCCATCTTTGAACCTTGATTGACTTTTTTCAGAGTTTTTTCTCCAGCCCTATGGTGGGCGCTGATTGTTAGAATCACACAGTAATAGTAAGATAAGAGATGTGAGGTTTAGGAGAGACTCTTTATTAAATCAACCAAAGACAAAGATGATACAAGGGGTGATTCGTCTCGATGATAAGGCTTGACGAGATGAATACGAAAAGAATAGAGAAGCTAAGAACAAAGGACGAATTATAACTAGGGTTTTGCCTCTTTGCTCTCAGTGATTGTGGAGAATTTCTGGATGTTTGTGGATGGTCTTCAAGGAATAGGGGGTCTTCTATTTATATGGAGAGGAGGTTGGCTTCTTCAAGATATTCTTCCATATTTCTTTTGGAAATATTCTTCTTTGGTGTTGATCTCCTTCTATTTTTCTTGGATGTAGTCTTTTTCTCCAAGTACTTCCTTTTCTTTGAGGAGGTGGAAGTGAAAGCGGGCCGAGCTTACATAGTATTATTAATTGTGACGGGCTCAGGGAAATTGTGCTAATTTCTGCTCTAACAATAAGTCCCCCCCAGTTTGGCGTGCATTTATCTCGGCAAACTTCATGTATAAAAGAGGAGCTCAAGAGCAATTAATAATAACTATGTGATGCTGACGCGATGCCGATGCTGTCGCGATGCTGTCGCGATGCTGTGCTGACGTGATGCTGCATTGCGTTATTGACCTTAGATCTGCACTGCCTGGTTAAAACCTTGATATGGAAAAACCCTATAGGATAAAAACCATAAGAAGGGAAAAGAGTAAAGTGACGTAATCTTGTCCGCAAATAGAATATGCTTTTGATAATTTCTCTCGGACTTGACGAGATGACTCTTTTGTCTCGTCAAGGAGAATAGATTGCTGTGACGATTTTTCTCGGATTCGAACTTCGACGAGATTGGTTTTATCGGGCTCGTGTGATGACTGCATGAATGAATGCTATCAAGCATCATGAATGCTATCCTTTGACTTCCTATCACTTAACAAGTAAACTACTCAGACATAGAGAAGGAACACGAATTCATATTCATAAGAACAGAGATTCGAATCCTCTCTAGAAAGAGAACAAGCAAGAACAAAGTAAAAGCAAGCAAAACTTTATTAAAGATGTAAATATAATGTGGTCTCTCTCCTTCTTGAGTTACAAGGCTAAAAAGAAGTATTTATAATGCACTAAGTATGAAAAAGCGGCTAGACCTAATCTTGCTAAGTCGGCGCCGGCTTTGGGCTTGAATTGTGCGGATTGGGCTTCAAAAACGGCTTCGGGTCGACCGCGGCGTTCGGACGGTCGGTCGGGACGTCGGCCGGACATCGGGTCGTGGCGATCGGAACGGTCGTGGCCGGATGATTTCTCGGTCGGCCGGTGTGGTCGGACGGGTGGTGGATTGGTCGATGTTTCTCGGCCGGACGTGGGACGGCTTCCGGCTCGGACGGATGCATCGGCCGTGGTACGCGAAGGTTGCGCGGCCGCGAGGCTTTGTTCCCGGCTCGCGGGCATGGTCGTGCGCGGCGTGGCTGAGTGGTTGTGGCTTGGCCGACCGCGGGCATTGTTTCCCGGGTCGTGATGTGATCGGCCGGACGCGAACTTTGGCCGAGACTTCAGACGGACGGATGGTTTTGGCCGAGCGCGGAACATTCGTTCCTCGGCCGGCCGCTGCACGGCTTGGCCCGGATTCTCGATAGAGCCGTCTGGACAGTCTTCACTCTTTTGGCTATAACTCCTTTTCTACTCATCCAAATGAGGCCGTTCCACTTGCGTTGGAAAGTTAACTCAATCAGAGCACGCAGGGAACTGGTCTTGATGAAATCCATTGAGTAGATCTTTTTTAGCTCCATCCAAAGTTGATGCAGTGGCATTGAACTGGTTTGAGTCCAAATCCTCTGTTTTGCTCCATAATGCACCTTTTTACCTAAAATGACTCTTTGCAGTATAAATCCATAAAAACTACCTTTTAACACAAGAATCCACTAGAAAACCATTAGAAAACCATAGTAAAATAGCATAAAAAGCATGTAAAATAGAGGTATATCAACTCCCCCAGACTTAGATCTTTGCTTGTCCCCAAGCAAATAAGAATCTAAACTAGTGAAGAGGTTTTGAAAAACGTGGGAACTCACTTGCTTCTTTGAAAATCCTGTATTCCATTGCTCTGCTCTTTACAAACCAACATAAGGTTAGCTTCACATACACCCTGCAAGTTTAGCAACATACCGGACCCAACTAGTCTCATCCAGTATCCAAACTCTCTATTGCTAACCTCTTGCAGTATTTAAAGTGTGGTCTTTATCAAGGGAGTATCGATCAATTGAACTTGTTCTTACCCATCCAAGATCTTTCCAAGATTTCTTTAGTGCATTCAGTCCAAACCTCTCTCTTTCTCTCATCAGAACTTTGAAATCAATTTCTCCCTACTTTTCTAGGGTATCATTTTATTTTTTCTATTGATTCTCCTTCCCTTGTGGGATAATGATTCTTAGCTTTCCTTGTATAAGGTATTCCATAAGACATGAAGGTACAGACATATGCATTCCTCATGCTTACTTGTTTTCCTTGTGCTCTTTGAGCTTTTGATCTTTCTTATTGCAGATGGGAGAGAGAGGTGAACTCTTTTTAGACAAATCTCATTGAAAATCAAGCAAGGAACTGTCGACATGTATGCCAATCCCCTTGACAAGAGTTATTAAGATTGATTAAGGGTGAGGTTAACTCTAGATTGCTTGGTTACCTTAGAAATTTGCCTCAGTAGGTGATCCACTCTAGGAGCTTCTGTTAGGCTTGTGTCCTTCGCTGATGAGCTCTAGGGTCATAGATTGGTAAGCTATCCTCAAAGCAAGTTCATTGTTTCCGGACTGGTTTTGACTCAATAAAACAGAAGTTTTGAAAAAGTGGGTAAGGAAAAACCAGTTATAAGATCAAAACAACCATGAACAAACACATTAGTACCGACAATCCCCCCAGACTTAACTTGCACCGTCCCGGTGAAAGAAAATCCAATTAAGGGAGTTAAAGAAAGAGGTAATAAAGTGGTTGTGAATGTAAAAAGAAAGATGTAACCTGATTTTGTGTTACTTGAAGAATGGTGAATGCAGTGGAATGATGGTAGTGATGGAATGCAAGTGTGGTGAGGTGGGATGGGTGAGATGCAGATGGAATGAGATGGGATGGTGTGTTGGGGGCTTGAGAGGACATGGGCGAGCGTGGAGAGGTTCTGCTCGGCCATCTAAGTCGCGCCAACTATGAACATTCTTCTTTGTGGTATATCTTCTTTACCATTGTGTGGTTCTTAGATTCCTGTATCCAAAACTCAAAACAAAACTAGACATTAACTAAAACTAATTGAAAAGAAAAGTAAAGAAAAACACCTTTCATGGGTTGCCTCCCATGCAGCGCTTTTTTGAGTCATTAGCTTGACTGATAGGATCTCTTAGTTGGAGATGGGGTAAGGGCACGGCCTGAGACATAGTCTTTTAGTTCTTGTCTCATTGTGACCTTGAGTGTGGTCTGGTGGCTCTCTTGGGCGGCCTTGGGCAGTGATGAGGTAAGACAGCTTGTTTGGTGAGATGAATGGTATGGTCTTGTAAAAGACTGTCTTGTCAACATTGGCTAAGGACATTCGCCGGTTTGGAAGGTCCATGACAGCTCCAGCAGTGGCCAAAAAGGGTCGGCCTAGTATCAATGGTGTGTCACATCCTCCTTGATGTTCATGACATGAAAGTCCACCGGGATCTTGATATCTCCAATCTCTAGAAGAACATCAATAACAACTCCTCTTGGCTTGGCTATAGTATGGTTAGCAAGTCCAATACTAATTTGAGCAGGTTGCAAGCGTGTGATGCCAAGGAGTTTGGCGGTTTGGGTTGGCATGAGGTTTATGCAAGAGCCAGAATCGCATAGTGTTCTATCAAAGTAATGACCATTTACTTGACAGGGAATAGAGAATTGACCTGGGTCTTCAATCTTGTAGAGGGTCTTGAAGGTGGCTGAACTTTAGCTTTCTCAAAAAGCTCTTTATGTCCTCAGGTGTCTCTTGCAGTTGTGGAAGAAGGTGGTGAATGGGTAGTGGCGCCAAGCTTGTTGGAAAGACATGCTGGCTGGAAGAGTTTGGACAAACTGATTGAACTCAGCAAGCTTCTCTCTTGATATGGAATTGACATACCACTGGGTGGTGGTGATGATGGTGGTGATGGTGGTTGATTGACTGCATGAGGGGCAAGGGGAAATCGTGCCTTCCTGAAAAGTTGGTGTATCTCTTCTTTGTTTTCACTAGTTGTGAAAAAGAACTCCACTAGACCATGTTTATCCCAAGCTTCTTCAAAAGTGACATAGAATGGAAGTGATTTCACCTTAGCATTGAACTCTTTAAGCTTCATGGGGCTTATCTTGTTGGGATCAATGGGATCATACTGCCAAGTATCTTCTTCTTCAGTAGGTGGTGATGGTCTTTGCATTGCTTCCAATCTTGGAAGTGTAGAAGCTTGACTTCTTGGTGAGAAACGAGGGTCTCTAGGGCTAGGTGTATCCATGCTCTGTTTTGGGGAAGCATTGATGTCGATGCTCTGCTCTTCATCTTCATCATTCAATTGTTCCTCATACTCTCTTTCTTCTTCTTCATTGTCCTTCATGGACTTGAGTAGTGCTTCTTCTTGTGATGGCATTGCAATAAAAGGGAGGGTGGTTGGGTGTTGGACTCCTCTCTCTCTTGTAATTGGCATGAGATGATCCTTCAAGGGCTTGTAGGCGGTTGTAGATTGATCCAAGATGTTTGCTATTGCCATAGCTAGTATCTTCAATTCTCATGCTCTTGTTCAGCAACTCTTGATATTTGGAAGCAACATCAAGCTTAACTAGGGTCAAAGATCGATCATGATCCTCTCTTAACTTCTTAATGTCTTCATCAAGCTTGATCACTTGCTTGAATAGGACTTCAGATTTGTTTCCAAGGCTCTCATGGATGAAATCGATTCTTCTCTCCATCTTCTTTGTACTCTCATCTTGATTTCTCAAGTACTCTTGAAGCATCTCTTCAATCTTGGTTTGGCGCGCAGCTTGATAGCTCTCCCTTGGGAAAAGTGGTGTCTTGTTTATGTCTGGTGATGATGGATGGTGTTGTGAATAGCTTGGGCGTGGTGGTGGGACATAAACAGGACCTTTGGCAAATCTGTAAGGAAAGCTCCTTTGTATCCATTCCAAGTCTTGAAAGCATGTTGGGCATTGAACTTAGCCCATTCTTTGGCTTGTCCAGCTAGAGATAGTTGGAAAAGTTGTATCTTCTTGGGGTTGTCTCCAAGTCCATAGTCGTGGCAAAGCTGCTCAAAGTTGCATAGATGCTCCTTTGCACATTCTGAAGTAGAATTGTAGAAAGGATTCCTCTCCACATGCTTGATTAGCTCTTCATTCAAGACTTCAGGATGGGGTGGTATGCCTCCCCATTCTTCTTCATCACGCTCTCTCTCCAGCTGATGAGAGTAGTGGTGGTACTTGGATTTGAAAGGTGGGCCTTGCAAATCTCTTCAAGAAAGCTTCTCTAAAATCGATCCATGACTCGATTGTAGAGAGTGGTTCATGCTGCGCCCAATCTAGTGCTGGTCCAGCTAGTGATGTGCTGAATAGCATCATCTTCTTCTCAAAGTCAAAAACTCCATAGGAATCACAAAGATTGTCAAAGTGATCTATGTGCTCCAGCGCATACTCTGAAAACAGATCATGGAATTGATCTCTCTTCACGAACTCGATCAGCTCAGGGTCAATCTCCTCTTCTGGTGTGGCTAGAAGGTGCTCTTCTGGTGTGATGCGGCTTGGCTAGACGTCTCCAGGTCGGCTGCTTCAAGGTAAGGAAGAAGTTTCTTCTTTGTCTTCAAAGGGATAGTCTTGGAGGACTATCCCATGAAGGTGGTGGTGCTTGAGGGCTTGACATCTCTTGTTCGCTCAAGAGGTCTTTGAGGTGGTATGTGGCGAAGTGGCATCGCCTTTATAGGAAGAGGCTTGTGGCTCCTTCTCCATATCTAACTAGGAAAACCTGAAAAGCTCAAAAACAAAAAGGAAAAACAAATCAAAGAAAAAGGAAAAATAACAAAAACAAAAAGGAAAAAAAACCCTAGACTAGCTCTCTTGCAAGAGCTTGTAGGTGCGAATTGGTCCCCGGCAACGGCGCCAAAAACTTGATCGCGGGATCAGGTCTTCCCCTTTCCTATCCCTGATTCTGCAAGTGCACAGGTCAGAAGTAGTAAACGGGTATCGAACACGAGGACCAGATTGCACACTACAACTATGATTGAGATCGAGCTAGGGCAAAAGTATAAGTTGGTTGAGTGCAGAGAAAGTAAAGCATGCAAGTAATTAGAAATGAAATCAATAGGAGAAAGGCTAAGCAATAGGATAGTCTTAAGATAAGCAATTCAAGAAGCATGAAATCAATCAATTAGGGTTACTGCAATTAGGTGCCAATCTAGAACTTGAAACACTATGGTATGATCATTCCACTGTCGAGGCTCCGACCCCTTTGTTAATCTACCTAGTCGCTAAACTTTTGGTATGTCCCTAGGTGATTAAATCAAGCATTAGTTCGATAAGATCAATTGTTCACAACCTACAAGTAGATCAACTGTCGCAGTCTAAAAGAGATTGCCCACCAAATACTAGTTCAGGCGAATGATACAGCACTGTCGAGGCTCAAATCAACCTAAAGGCATATGCTAATTGGCCAGATTAACAACAAGCATTAAGTATAAGCAAAGATGGAGATTATAAGTAAAACCCTAATTGTGATCAATCATCAAGCATACATGAATGCTATCCTTTGACTTCCTATCACTTAACAAGTAAACTACTCAGACATAGAGAAGGAACACGAATTCATATTCATAAGAACAGAGATTCGAATCCTCTCTAGAAAGAGAACAAGCAAGAACAAAGTAAAAGCAAGCAAAACTTTATTAAAGATGTAAAGTATAATTGTGGTCTCTCTCCTTCTTGAGTTACAAGGCTAAAAAGAAGTATTTATAATGCACTAAGTATGAAAAAGCGGCTAACCTAATCTTGCTAAGTCGGCGCCGGCTTTCGGGTCGACCGCGGCGTTCGGACGGTCGGTCGGGACGGTCGGCCGGACAGTCGGGTCGTGGCCGAGTCGGAACGGTCGTGGCCGGATGATTTCTCGGTCGGCCGGCTGTGGTCGGACGGGTGAAGATTTGGCCGATGTTTCTCGGCCGGACGCGGGACGTCTTTCCCGGCTCGGACGGTGCATCGGCCGTGGTACGCGAGTAGGTTGCGCGGCCGCGAGGCGTTGCTTCCCGGCTCGCGCGGCATGGTCGTGTGCGGCGTGGCGTGAGTGGTTGTGGCTTGGCCGACCGCGGGTATGTTTCCCGGGTCGTGATGTGATCGGCCGAGGAACTTTGGCCGAGACTTCAGTCGGACGGACGGTTTTGGCCGAGCGCGGAACATTCGTTCCTCGGCCAGCCGGTCTGCGGCTTGGCGCTGATTCTCGATAGAGCCGTCTGGAGCAGTCTTCACTCTTTTGGCTATAACTCCTTTTCTACTCATCCAAATGAGGCCGTTCCAGTTGCGTTGGAAAGTTAACTCAATCAGAGCACGCAGGGAACTGGTCTTGATGAAATCCATTGAGTAGATCTTTTTCTAGCTCCATCCAAAGTTGATGCAGGGGCATTGAACTGGTTTAGAGTCCAAATCTCTGTTTTGCTCCATAATGCACCTTTTTACCTAAAATGACTCTTTGCACTATAAATCCATAAAAACTACCTTTTAACACAAGAATCCACTAGAAAACCATTAGAAAACCATAGTAAAATAGCATAAAAAGTAGGTAAAATAGAGGTATATCAAAGGTTACCATCTTCCTCTCTCCCCTTGCCAAGAAAGTAATACCAGCCTTGGTCCAACTCAGCTCGATCGAGCTCATCATATTGGTGATACCTCATCGATGCCAAAAACTCACAAGTGAGCTCCTTGTAAGACTCCATGCGGTGAGAGAAGAACTTGCCAATTGCATGTTCTTGAGTACCAACTCCACATCCTCAAAGATCCCAAGAGTCCTCATTGTGTCATCTTGTGGGTACTTGGTCTCCACAAAGTCCATGGAGAAGAGAGCATTGTAGTGCTCTTGGTACATAGGGAGTTCTTCCTCCTCCTCTTGTGGCTCAGCCTCCTCCATGGGCTCATCTTGGTTACTCTCTTGCTCACTCTCATCAACCAATTGATTCACCTCCTCTCCTTCCTCTTCACTCTCAGACTCATCACTTCCTTCTTCACTTGGAGAGCCATCACCTCCTCTTGAACAAGGTTCACCCCAATCTCAAACTCTCCTTGCTCACTCTCACTACTAATGGGGTCATTCCTCTTCTTGGTTCTCCTTTCCTCCCTCAATCTCTCGCTCTCAGACTCCTCCTCAGAGTAGACATACTCCTCTGCATCAGACTCTTCCATCCTTTGAGTCATTGCTTCCAAATCGGCTTGCATTTTTAGCCTTCTCTCCCTTGCATTGCTTGATTCACCCTCAACCATTCTCCTTTGTGAAGCACGACTTCCCTCACTGTTTGTCATCTTCTTATGCTGTTTCTCCACTAAGGTTCCTGAAATGCATCAAAGATTACAAAGAATTAGAGTTGTAACGATCGGTTTGGTCAACTCGACACTCAGCTCGATCGAGTCAAAAAACTCGAGTGACAAACTCGATCGAGCTAGGTGAAAACAGAGTATAACCGAACCTAATTCAAGTAATAAGAGCTGGAAAGGATGCTTGTCAATCAAATTGAACCAAGAACAACAAGTAAATGGAACAATGAGCAATTCTAGTGAGAACCAAAGCATCTTAACCAATACCAAACTCAAATTCAATGTTTTAAGCACATGCAACAAGTTCTTATGGTAAACAGAGGTGAGGTGAGGCAAATTCACAAAATTATAAGCAGGAGAATGATATGAAGCAATTACTCAAGAACAAGCCACAAGGGGCACATGCAATCAAAATCAAAGGGGAAACAAGCAATAAAGAGGAATCGAGATGAAGGATTCAAGGGTTTTAGGGTTCACACCTTGCTTGAATGATGAATTGAAGTACAGTAACTAGAACCCAAACAAATCAAGATGATGAACAATGAACAACGGATTTTTCTTGTGGTGAAGAGAGAGATGCATGATTTTCAGAATTTTTAGTGTGGGAGAGTGGGAGAAGGTGGATTCGATCGAGTTATGGGGAAGAGGGAGTGTTTGAGATGTGTGGTTGAGATTAAAATGAATTGAAGAGGGGACAAAAGCTAGAGATTTTTCTGATCGATTTAGGGTAGTGGGGGACCAAAATTTACTTGTGGGACCCACCCCCTGATGTTGAGTCAGGTTTTACCAAACTCTTAGACCTCTACAAGTGCACAGATCGCAGAAGTATGGGTATCGAACACAAGGACTGGCTATTGAGTACACTTTGAAACTATGGATTTTGGATCAAGCTAAAACAAAAGTATGGTTTGAGGTTGTTATGGTGAACAGAACTAGCAAGTAATTGAGGTTGTAAATCAATAAGGAAGAAACGCTAGGTCAACAGGGGTTAATCGCAGAGAAGCAAGCAATGATCAATGAAACAATGATAGATGAATTGATTAGGGATGTTGGGATATTAAGAACCGTCTAGAACACAGATAACGAATATAAAACCATTCCA